CATGGCAGCCTCAGTGGCCATTGTGCCGCATGCAAGGCTCAAGACTCCACCTGCTCCAATTGTTTTTCAACAATTCATTCTGTCCACAGTGGGATCTACAAACTAAGCTTCTTCGGATTCCATCCTCGATTCTTCATGCCCTGACGTGGTGGACTATGTCACGCAACCTATCTGTAGGCGTTCCGTTCCGCCCACTCCAACCGACAGTGACAGTGTACACCGATGCGTCTCTCATCGGATGGGGTGTGGCATGTGCAGAACTTGGGGTCCAAGGGGCATGGACCCGACAGGAAGCAGCGAGGCATATCAACTTCTTCGAGCTTCTAGCGATTTTCAACGCTCTCAAATCTTTCGAAACCGTCCTGCACCGCCAAGTTGTACAGATCGCGTCCGACAGCATAGCTGCTGTTTTTCACGTCAACAAACAGGGCGGGACAAAGTCACCTCTCCTGGCTTGTTTGTCAATGCAAATCTGGGATTGGTGTTTCGCCCGGGACATCATGATTCTGGCGGTTCATCTTGCGGGAACCGACAACGTAGAACCTGACACACTGAGCCGACAGATGTCAATGACCCACGAGTGGGAGTTGGATCGAGTGGTTTGCAACCAACTGTTCCAGTCATGGGGACACATGGACATAGACTTGTTTGCAATCTGGTCAAACAGGGTATGCATACTGTTTTGCTCCAGAGCAGGGCTCGGATTGGACTTGAGGGAGATGCCCTAATGATCAACTGGGACAACCTGTTTTTCTACGCATTCCCTCCAATCCCACTCCTCATGAAGGTAGTGTTGAAGATTGTACAAGACAACACCACAGGAATTCTGATAACCCCATGGTGGCCAAGGCAACCCTGGTTCACCACTCTCCTCACTCAGTCCAGAGGAGTTTTTCGACGACTTCCACTGGATCTTCATCTGTGTAACGCAACACAATGGGACAGTCCGACACCCAGACCTACTTTCACTGAACTAATGGCATGGTGCTTCCGATAGAACTGAATTTTCTACCGGTTCCATTGCTGTCCCAATCTTTGGAACTTTCACTTCAACGACATACGCAACCGACTCCTCCCTCAGAACCGTCAAGCTTCATCTCGGAACCGACAATGTTGTCCCTGGATATTCAGGCGATTCTCGAATCTGCACTACGACCTTCCACACGCAAGTCGTACTCAGCAAAGTGGAGTAGATTCTCTTCCTTTGCCAATGCCCATTTCTTCTCTCCGGAGTCGGCTTTGATCAAGAATATTTTGCAATTTATGTTCGAACATCATCGCTCGGGACTCAAACCTTCATCTGTAAAAATCTATACGGCTGCTATCTCACATTTTCGTGGCAGCATCCAAGGGTTGTCTGTTTTCTCTCAACCCCTGATTCGCTGTTTTCTTAAAGGGCTACAAAATCTACACCCGTCGGTTCGACCTGTTATGCTGACATGGAGTCTTTCTGTTGTACTTCAGGCCCTTACAAAGCCTCCATTTGAACCTTTGGCAATGGTGGATTTACGTCTAGTTTCATAGAAAACTGCCTTCCTTGTTGCAGTTACTTCAGCCAGAAGAGCCAGTGAACTGTGTGCTCTACGCATAGATCCACCGTTCTTGAACTTTCACAAGGAAAAAGTCGTTCTTCGAATGGATTCCAAGTTTCTTCCCAAGGTGGCTACACCGTTTCATTTAGACCAAGACATCGTCCTTCCTGTGTTTTTTCCATCTCCGACAACTTCGGTTGAATGCTCTCTCCATATGCTGGATGTTAGGTGCTGTCTGGCCTTTTACAGGTCTCGCACAGAATCGTTTAGGAATACTAACAGACTTTTTGTCAAGTATGCTGATCATGACAAGGGCTCTCCAATCTCATCTCAACGAGTGTCTAAATGGATTGTGCAGACTATAGTCCTAGCATATCAGTTGGCAAAAATTGACTTACCTCACTTCCGAGGGGGCATTCTACGCGAGCAGTAGCGACTTCGTCGGCCTTTGTGGCAGGTGTTCCAATTCAGGATATTTGCAAGGCTGCAACTTGGGCTGTTCCATGTACTTTCGTCAAGCATTATCGGCTTGATGTACATGCCAGGCACGATTGCTCCTTTGGTAGAGCCGTGCTCTCTGCCATTCTTCACTGACGACACCTTCCCTCCTCCAAGTCGGGTAAGCTTGCTACTCAGCCATATGTGTGATGCACAGAGGCCACGACAAAGAAGAGCAGGTTGCTTACCTGTAACTGATGTTCTTCAAGTGGCCATCTGTGCATTCACACAACCTGCCGGCCCCGCATGGTGTTGGTGAGTGGACTGTTTTTACTTATTGTCGGTTCTGTGCTACTCCTACGGTACCGACTCTGCTTCCTGTGATGCTATTTTTCAACGTTAGGGGGCGAACATCGGTGTTCAAGATTGAGTAAAATGGTGGATGCTCCACCCTATTTATACTGCAAGGGGGGAGAGCGGAGCGTTTTCCTGCCAAAAAAAGTTAGCTTTCTAATCTTCCAGCCTAGGCACTGCGCAGGCACAGCACGCATATGTGTGAATGCACAGATGGCCACTCGAAGAACATCAGTTACAGGTAAGCAACCTGCTCTTACGAATGTCCTGGTCAGGTTCTCTGCTTGTAACGTTTTGATGCTCCTACTGGTGTCACAGCATTCTGTACATCTTTGCCCATACACAGGATGAGAAATACAGTAATAGGAGAGGCATGATGGAATGTCATGCTTAACAATATGGTTAAACATCGAGTTTGTTTTTTGGCGCCACTCCTCCTGCATCTGGCTGACAGTGCCAATGATCACCAAGAAAATTCTTCTGTAATAAATAAGCATTCCAGTGTGAGAGACTCTGTGTTAGGACCAAACACATTGATCTTGGAGAGCCAGTCAAGACCAACGTCACAGCTACCTGAAATGGCTGCTGCTAGGCCAAAGCCTCAGCCAAAGCCTGCAGCTTACAGGGCTCATCGAAAAAGCCCCAGTAATGCTTGTGTGGGCTTTTCTTTTCTCCCTAAATCCAGTAGGTGTGAGCTCATGGGATTATCAGCAGAGGGAAGAACTAGATGTGTTTCTGTGCATGGAAGGATAGCTCAATAAGAAATGAGAACACCTCCAACAGCAAGAAGAGAAAGGAGAAGAAGGAACTGCTAGCTACACCTTTAACGTAATCAAGACAGGGATCAGGAAATGTAGGAAATGGAGTGATAGCAAGTGCCTAACAGTGAGCAGTGTGCATCTGGACTCTTTAGGCATGGATGTGAACTTTCCAAAAACAGGACCAGGCATGGAAGCCAAGACCATTTACAGCCCTTCAGCTTGAGGGTGCTGAGTTACCTCCAGTGCACCTTTAAATGCCAGTTGCCGGGAGAGGGCTATTATGCTCCTGTCTTCTTTGAGGAGCTACATTTGATAAGACCCACCCGGGGCTTAAAGCATTGACAAAACTGCACCCTGTCCTGCATGTTGGAATGCTTCACAGAGAGTATTTCCTCTAACTCATTTCTTTGCAATGCTAATGAGCGCTAATGTGCAGAAATGAGTTAAGAATATGACTTAAACTGAGAGAACAGACTTAAATTCAGGCTAAATACCTGTTTGAAAAGGAGGCTACTTTTGTATTTTCAAAGGTCGCATCACATATTTATAAAATGTTTTACTGTTGTAGCCAAAGGCAGTTGAAGTTCTTTCAGACTGTTTGTAGTGGAGTAGGACATACAGGGATTGGATGGATGGACGGACGGACAGATGGACCCAAGACTTCTCAAATGGAACTCTTGGAACAGTCTTTCATTAGTGTTATACCACAGAGACACAGATGTCTAAAATCAATAAGAAATTCCATGTCTAGGGTCAGATTAAGTTAAGGCCAAGTAAAAGTCATAAAATACTATGCAATGTTTCAAGTTCTTCAAAATTCTCAGTCAGGCAAGATGGGTAAATAAATCATCTTTAGCTTTAAGCTGAAAAAAATTTGTATGGACACGGTGTGGATTCATTGGTGTAAGCCTGCCCATAAGAGGGTAGGGCTTAACCATTCGATTGCATCCTGCCAGCCTTATAGAGAGGTTTCTGAGGAGCTTTATGAACTTACTGTGCCTGCCTGAGACAAAGGCACTCGCCAATGATCCTGCAGGGAACCATTTTTATTGTAAATTACTTCAAATATTGTTATGGAAACACAGCATATGTATGTATACATGTATTGAACAGGTATGTATGTTACAATAGGTAACCAAATGAACTGAATCCACAAAGTTAGCCCATATGTGGCACAGGCCTGCCTGATATCACAGCTGCATATTTGATTGGCCCAGGGGGAAAAAGCTGCTTCATCATTACATAGCTGTGCTACAACCCACACATAGATTTTGTGATCCAGCAATATCTCTTTCTAGTGGTTGTCTGTTCTTGAGAAGGGAAAACAGGCTTTATGCTATGAGTTCTCAGAAACTGAGTTACAGTCTTCAGATGTTTATTATTAGTCAATATGCTGAACCAGAAGTTGTGTGAAACAAAGGATGTTTATAACTCGCCAATTAAAGCAGCAGATTCATGTGACTCAGTACACATCTGAAAATCATTCCATGATAAGTGCTGCTCAGGATACAAAAATCTAGGAGGAAATTCTGTTTTAATGAAGTCAATGGTGCCAACATCCTGCTAACTTTGGTAGAATTACTATTTAGAGCTTAAATGGAACTATTTAATAGAATAGGTATAATGGTATCAGTTAAACCACAAGAATTCCTATGTTAATTCCTTGTGAATTTAGAAGAGTTGCTTCCAGAGTTTTTTTCCCACAGTGCTACTATAATGTAGTACTGCATTTGCGTAGTATAGTACTTTATAGTCAGTGTGAAAAAACAAAAACCCACTAATAGCAACACACTTTGTGTTCTGTTTTGTTCCTGCACAACATACCATCAATTCCTTAAATAAAAATAAAAGAAATTGGATATAATAAAAGCAAAGCAGATACTACATAAATGTGTATACAACCGCTTGTATTCATTCACAAGAGTGAATTTTCCTTGGACAGCTGTGCTGTGTTTTCTGAAACTGGCTCCATGCTTGACTCTGGACTCAGAAGACAGACCATTTTTTCATCTACTTGCGGATGTGTTTGGCTGCTGCATGCGATTCCACCTTCTGTTTTCTGGTTTAGCTGGATGGCCATGACCCTTGAGGGGCACGTGGTTTCCCCATCAGCAGCTGAAGGAGGTTGGCAGTGGAAAAGTACAAGAAAACATTTATAGAACTGAAACACAAAAACAGAACAAAACCAGATTCATTTTGCTAAACTTAGTTTTCTAGATATGAATTATTAGCTAATAAAGCTTCATGCATCTATAAAAGCCAACCTTGATTCAGATAGTTTGCAAAAAAAAAAAAAAATATGCTACATTCATAGCTACCACTTTGCCATTTCTTTTAAGATGGCACCTTCTCAACTCAGGACTGGTGGGAGGGGGGTATTGTAGGGTTCAGTCCTGGGCCCAGTGCTTGTCGACATTTTTATTAATGACCTGGATGAGGAAGTGCAGGAACCGATTATCAGATTTGCAGATGACACAGAACTGGGTATGTCTAATACCCTGGAAGACAGAAACAAGATTCAAGGTGATATTGATAGCTTGGAGTGCTGGGCTGAAAACAGAATGAAATTCAGTTGAGACAAATGCCAAGTTTGGTACCTAGGGAAAAAACCAAATGCATTATTACAAGATGGAGAACACTTGGCTCAGCAATGCTGCAAGTGAAAAAGATATTGGAATTGTTGTAGATCACAAACTGAATGTGAATCAACGATGTGATGTGGCTGCAAAAATGGCACAATGCTATTTTAGACTACATTAATTGAAGTATCATTTCCAAATTCCATGCAGTTCCCCTTTCCTGAGCACTGGTTAAGCCTCATCTGGAGTCATCATCTGTGTCCAGTTCTGGGCACCGCAGTTTAAGAAAGATGCAGATAAGCTGGAAAGGGTTTAGAGGAAGATCCAGGGACTGGAAACAGAGCCCTAACAGGAGAAAGAACTGGGCATGTTTGACACCAAGAAGACTGAGGGGAAATACAATAGTGCCCTACAAGTACTTGAAAGGCCATCACAAAGAGGACGGCCAGGATCTCTTCTCAGTCATCCCGGAATGCAGGGCACAGAATAAATTACAGGAAGCCAGAATCCACCTAGATTTCCGGGAAAATGTCCTGACTGTTAGAGCAGCATGACAGTGAAACCAATTGCCTTGGGAAGATGAGGGCTCTCCCATGCTAGAAGTGTTCGAGATGCAACTGGACAGCCATCTGGGAGGGACGGTGTAACTTGCAGTCCTGCACTGAGCAGGAGGTTCAACCCGATGGCCTTCTGGCCTCTTCCAACTCTACTATTCTGATTCTATGATTATTATCATGGAATGAACTAGTAGTCCATTCCATGTTAAACTTTTTCTCTCTGGTATTCTACTATTCTGATTCTATGATTATTATCATGGAATGAACTAGTAGTCCATTCCATGTTAAACTTTTTCTCTCTGGTATGTATCACTTCTCTAAACCCATGACTGACAAGTCAACTTAAATATAAAAGAGAATAAATGCAAGTTTCTACAACAAAGCTGGTTCATGCATTTGAACCTCAAGGTGATGTGGAAAAGTGGGGGAATAAGATCCCCACAATGTTGGGAAGCTACATACATCTCCTAATGGGAAGCCAAGCCATTATAGTGTTTATGCATGTGTGTCTTTTGCATTGAGTTAACAAGACTTTGGCTAATATGAGAGAGCACTGTATGGTCAGGAAATGCATTGCAACTTGGAGCAAGAGAATTTTAATGGTACCCTGCCTTTGTGGAAACTACCAGTGTGTCCACCACTTAATCAAAACTGCATTGGAAAAAGCTTGAGAACAGATGTATTCAAATGTATACCATGTTGTACTGCAGTCAGGCAATATGAGGATATCTTTGAATTATGAAGATTATGGCCCAGTCCTGGAATTTCCTCACCTCAAGATAGATCAGGAGCTTTAAAAAACACTGCAGAACCTGATATGGACATAAATATGGTCAAGGAGTTCCTTGGCTTGGATATAGATCTGCTTGTGGAGTGTTCTTTTGCTTGTTTTTTTGTTTTTGTTTAAACTCTATGCAGATATATTTGAGAGTAAATAGTATTTAATTTCTTGGCACTGACTTCACAAAAAGACTGAAAATCATTTGATAATATTATTCATGGTTTACCCATCTTGAAAAGTATATATGAGAGGAAGAATATAAGTAAAAATATATCCAGTGCTCTCTGATTAATCATATACTACTGTAAGTCAGGAATCAGCAATCTGGTTGCCTCCTAGATGTTTGAACAACATTACCCGTAAGTCCCAGCCAGCATGACCAATGGTTAGAGAAGGCAAAAGCATCTCAAAAGCACTGTGTAACCTACACCTTTTATCATGTAAACTTTGTCTACTATAAATTTAGTATAAGGCATCTTTGTCTAAAAAAGGAGCATACTTTACAACTCCTGGATGTTTAAACATTTCTGTAGACTGATAAGTTTTGTAAACATTGTATTCTTAAATGATGACAGGAAACTCTTTCATTTGAAACCTGATGGGAATAAGTGTTTAATACACAAGGTTGCTATTTTTGCTCTAGTCAGCAAAGGTACTAGCCTTATACTTGCGTCATAAAATGTGCTACACTGTGTTGGAAATTTTGTATGATATAATGCATTTTTATCATTTTTATCTCTCATCACAGTATCATATTATTTTCCAACGTGCTTGAGATTGCCAATTATTTTTTAGCAATTAAAACATGGCTTGACTTTTCAGTGGTTAAAAGAAATACTATTTGATTCTGATACGGCATTTCCATCCTGTTGACACTTCCACTCTTAGGGATCCTCATCATGATGTCCATGTGCAGTGAAGTGCATGTGTACGAATACATTCCTTCCGTCCGACAAACTGACCTTTGCCACTACCACGAACTCTACTATGATGCAGCTTGTACCTTGGGGGCGTACCATCCCCTGCTATATGAGAAATTGCTGGTACAGCGGATGAACAAAGGTATCCAGGATGATTTGTACCGAAAAGGAAAAGTGATTTTACCAGGGTTCAGGTCAGTGAAATGTCCTGGGCAACACGAGCTCCCATACACTTAACAGGAAATCTTCATAGAACAATGTGCAATAAGGTGCTACTGTTATACTAATATACCACAAAAATACTTGAAAGTGAATCCTAGACCAACCTAGTCTTGCGTCTATAAACTGTAACTAAGTAGCAGGCATGAGGGAAGTTGTTTCTAAGGCCTGAGTATTTATTACTGCTTTGCAGATAGGTTTTTTTAAAAGGCTTGGTGTTTGAAAGATGCAAAATACAGTGAAGGCAAACCATAGTGAGTAGGTATATGTGAGGTGTGCCAGGCTATATCAAACATTTCTGCCATACATGCCAGATGGAGGTCATTTTGACAAGGCGTTTTAATAGCTAAATCTGACCTAGAGCAGGGGTCCTTAAGAGTGTCATAAAAACAAACCATGGGAAAGTTTCTTTCAGCATCTTAAGATGTCTGTCTCTTCCCTCACATCAAAAGTATGTATCAGTCCTGGATGTGTGTTGAATATAACAAGCCATATTCTTTAACACCATTTTATTTAAGATTACCAGTGGTAGAGTTTGGCATCGTAATCCTGGAACATCTGTGCTAGCCTGTTTTATTGTGCATAAAATCTGTGCATGTTTGGTTGGAAACATAAATTGATCCAACCGTGTGTGGAGAAGGATAAGACAATCTCCTTGACTGCCTCAAAAAAGAGCATGTTAAAATTTATCTCTGCAATGTGTTGGCACCAGTCTCTATATGAGAATGAAGATGTTTGCTGCCCTTATTGATATATGCAGGTTGTGCGTTGATTCAGAACTTTTATGAAATAATATTATCATGATAAATGGGAGAATTCTATTTCTCCCAATTACTAAATGGGAGAATTCCTCCAGCGTGTCATTTACGGCTGCTCTTAGGGGATGCAAAATCTACCTGGTAGTGATCCCACCATGTCATGAAAGTTTCAAGTGCTCAGCTTATCATGGGATAAAGATAATCCTCAAGTACTCTGCCAGAACCATAAACCAGCAATGTGAGCACTGACAGAGCATTGGGACTTAGGCAAGGTCTTGGTTCCCTGTGTATATTCCAGACAATTACAAGTTGCAATTTTATCTTTTTCAGGGAAATACAGCCCTGACTTTGCAAGGGTTTGCAGCTCCCAAAATACATGTTCACATTTCTGATTCATTTTTCCACGTTATGCCATTCCATGTATCACTGGAGTCACTTCTGACCTCTCAGACCCAGGGGCCGATGTGGCTTTTAAAAACCAAAACCAAAGCGCAAGCTCTTAAATTACATTTTGTCTTGCCTTTTTCTTCTAGCCAATTGTCCATGAAAGCTGTGCAAAGAGCAGAATAGTTCTTCCTTAGCCCCCTTGGGCCATGTATCCATATACAGAACAGTCAGTATCTCTGTCAAGCTTGCTCCCTGTTCCTGGTCACTATCATTTATGGTCTAGTGCTGGATCACAGTGGAAGTAATTCTATTCCAAAGCAGGAGAAGTAGTGAATTCAGTTCATAGCCCAACTTTATAGGGCAGGCTGTTGGCTCTTCCTTCCCTCATTCCTCTTCCACTCACAGTGGTGCAAGAGTCAAAGATCTCTTTTTTGGCCTCCTTTAGCTTTGCTTAAACTGCCACAGGGACCAGCTGGAGCACTGTTAGGGGAAAGCATCAGTGTTGTATGGCCACTGGGCCTTGCAATCTTCTGCATAGCTACTGCCTAAGCAGTGTTCATAGCAGAGGTGAGCAAGCTGTGGTTCTCCGGTTACATTGAACTCCAGCTCCTATCATAGCTGCCCAAAGATTCTTGTGGATCAGCAGAAAATACTCCTGAATATTAATCCAGGAACATTCAACTGCTGCTTCTGCATGTTTACATTCCCATCTGCTCCCCAGGGTCCTAGTAGGAGGATCTGGGAACCTGTTTCTACTTCTGGAGACAATTGCCTTGTTCGATCAAACTGAAGGTCTGTCTGCTCCTGCGTTCTGACTGAAACAGGCCAACTAGATGCCTCATTCACCAGCAGGGCACAAAGAGGATGACCTCCTTCTCTTTATCTGAAGCATCCAAACCCCAGATAGCTGATACCTCTGAACAAAGAGGCTCCAGTGTCCAATTCCAACAGATCTATTATGGATAGACTTACCAAATCTGTTTGTAAAGACTACCTCAGCTGATGTTCCTTTCCAATCTTCCTTTATTAAAATTTCACGCACTCCTAACATGATTAAAATTCATGGAATTTAATTTGGGTCAGGGTAAATTAGATGGGCCAGTGTCACATGCAAACTCTTCTTTCTGTTGAAAACAGTGCCACATATTTGCAGAAACATACTGATGTGCACCTTATGGTGGTGTGCCCTGAATCATAAGTATTCTAATAAAGGAAAAGGCAAGAGGAATGTCCCAGCATTTAGATGAATGCTGCCTCTTTATATTTTCACTCAGCTTGCTTTAGAGAATTTGCACCTGTGCATATCTGAATATGGATGCTTCTGCTGTTTTCTTAACAATAACCACCTGAAGCATACATATATTTTAACATGCATCATTTCTAATGTGGCAGGACAAAATGATTAAGATACTTTACTTACGGTGACCATATGACATCTCCATAAATGTAGCTTAAACCCAAAGCATTTGGATTTATGGAGCACTGTTTGGAATAAAAATTGTAGCTATGGAAGAGGAAATCCAGAGGAAACTCAGTTTGGTGCATGGAGAAAATTCAGTTTCTTTACCCAAGCATACTAGGGTCCCAATCCAAAGTGGGGGAATTTGAGTTTACTCTAGAGCTTAAAAAATAGGTTTGCTACATCTTAAAAGCCCAAATACATTGTACTAAGTGCAATGCTTAGTACTGCTTCTCTGTCCCAAAATATGGATTAGCACAAACTGTGGATGCCCTGGATCCTGAGTCATCCTTTATCAAAATCTGCATTTTTTTCTCTCTAACATAGAAGCAGAGCAAGTCAGAAGAGGCCTCTCGGCCCATCTAGTCTGACCCCTGGCTCCAGCCAGCTCTGCTTATGACATGCCTACCATGTGTATGTCCAGCCTATGCTTTAACACACTCACCAATGGGGCTTCAGCCACCTCCTGTGGAACCCCATTCCATACCCTTGGGGTCCTAAATGTCAGGAAGTACTTCCTGGCATCCAGATTGAACCTTGGTTTCCTGAGCTTAGGCCATTTGTCCTGCCCTCCTCTGCAGGGGAAAACAGGTCTCTTCCAACCTCTGACTGTTGGAACACAACCATGGCAGAAATGTAAGCTGTGACTGTTGGTTTATTCCACTTACTTCAACGGGTTTTGGACAATAAACCTCAAAATATTCTTCGTGGTTATTTTTCTGACAGTATTGGGTTTTCAAATTCAACAAGCAAAAAGCTCCAGTGTAAATTGCAGAAGGGAAGGGAAGAGGGAAACATTGCAGAGGGTTCTATCTAGGCCACCTTATTCATGCACCATTTTCTCTGATTCAGTACATTATCACTGAGACTGCTAAATGTTTTACTTCTAACCCTTCTTTTAGCAAAACACAACAAAAGGTAATCAGAAGTTCAAACTATTCCACATGATAATTCATGAATGTACATTTCATGCAAAATAGAGTTCTGAATGTTTTAGTCTATCCTATAATATCTTTCATGTTTTCAGTCTGTCAGAGTTATAAATATGGCATAAATGTCTGTAGCTCCTACTTGAAGTTGTGAGAAATTTCACTTTTAAAAACAGATGAAGCCTGTCTAAACCTTTTCTTTATTTGTTAGTTGTAAAAAGTAAGGGTTGGTGAGAGAGGTGAGTTTTGATTGGCATAAAGATGTTAAAAGCCTCACACTTCTTCTGCACTGACTGTACAGATGAAACACCACGTTCAACACCTTGCACAGACATATTTTCTATTACCTGCTATGTTTTACAATTTCCACTGTGAATTTTTTAATGTGGTGCTCTCAGTGTTTATGCATAATATCTTTAGATGGTGAAATGGAGGTTTTCTTCTGTTTGTTTGTTTAGAGTTAATATCTCTAGTTAAGCAAAACTTTTTGTCACTACGCAAAATAACAAAACAAAACAATCTCTTGTATCCCCTCTGTGTTTATGCTTGACTTTGGAGGTATATTCAGATTGCTAGACTTCTGTTTTTCTTCACAAGGCTGTGTATATATTGTGATTCTGTAAAAGCATCCCTATTACCTGTAACTGATGGGGCCATTTGATGGGGATGATGTGAAAAGTAGTCCAATATCTTGAAAGTGCCAGGTTGGGAGTGGCATTAAATCTGAATTGGGTTTTTAACCATTCTAACTGAACATTAAAGGTTAGTTTTAAAAGTTTAGGGATAATTAGTCTATACCAATAATTGAATATACACCTTAGAGCAGGAGCAGGCAATGTGATGAGTACCTACTTTGAGTGCCTTTTATTATTTTATTTTATTTATTTTATTTTATATTTTATACTGTTTGTGAAGAGGCAGGGTATAAAACAAACAAATGTGTCCTTTTTTGGCCCATCAAGATGCCCAGCCCCCCTCTTTAAAAACAAATTAACTCATTTTAATTCACAGCTGGGATTACTGTGAATAGATTCGGTAATGAAAGCTGAGGGTTCAAGTTTTGTACCGTGTTGCAGCTCAGACCCCACTTCTACCTTGTATGTTGTCTTTGGGGCAGGTTACTCTTTTTCGGTCAGGGGTCCCACCTTTCTGTGATGGTGCCTGGGTCAGTTTCTCCAGTTTTCTCTCAGTTTCAGGTGTGCCCATGCCCTAAAAATTGCCCACCCCTGTCCCAGGCAGGAGACCTAAGCACACCCACTGGATTCTGCTGAAATCAGTGGGGCTTATTGCCAGGTTTAGGAGTAAAATGGGAAGCCTAGGGAGTAAGGCTTGCTGTCGTTGCCCACTCTGTTCTAGTGCGGGGAGTATTAAAGGGGAATGAAGCAAGCCAGTCTGGAGGGGAATGGCATCAGTATTAAACAGCCAGGAAAGGACACACTCGTCCTCTCTGCTCAGCAACGCACTCGTGCGATGCTAGTATGGTCA